CCCCAAAACCCCAAAACCCCATAGAATAAAAATACATTTGAAACAGCTATTTTAAAAAAATAAATATATTTTGTACGATAATTAATATAACTAACAAATTAAGTAAAAATATAAGTAAATGCATTATGAGCCAATGAAAATGAAGCGCTGGCTTTTACTTCATTCAATAACTCCCAATAATTTGTGAAAATAGGATGAGAATTTCATTGTTGTAAGACTTTCAGTCGAAAACATCGAAGTGAATGGAAATATCATTGATTAGAATTTCAATGAGCTGAGAGAATATCAAAGATAACTAGCTATTCAGCCTAAATTAGATGAGTTTAAACGAAATGCTGGTGAACAAGGAAGAAAATTGAACTAGTCTGGATTTCAAATAACTACTGAGAGTGACAACCCATAAGATGACTCAGAATCATTAGGGCCACATTTTCAGCAATATAAGGACTCTATCGGGAGACCAAGCATTCATTCACAAAAAATTCGCTTCTAAAAGTCAATTTATCACAAATTAAACATCTTATCTCATAAGAGCTCTGATCATAAGCATTCACTAGGCTGAGGAAAACTATCAAATCTAGCAGGAGGTGGAAATATGAGTGTCAGATTTTTTACCACTGGTCATTAGCATTCTAAAAGTAAAGAGCCCAAAGAGTTTGCTTGAAGTCAATCGCATAATCCAAAGCATTTTGGTGGTTCTAATTTACTCCTCAATTCGCAGGGCATTAATGGCTTGGTAAATCCTCGTAGATATTCAAGTAGATAGGCTTCTATTGAAAGCTCTCAAGATGTTAATCTGCTTTAGCCAGGATTATAGATTGCTCAGCAAATATCTAAGTTCTTTTAGAATAAATTAGAAAAAGAGTTCAGTAAGCATAGTAGAAAAACTTCAATCATTGAGTTGCCTAGAGATAGAACATAATTCCACAAGCATTTTATGAAAGTTCTAAAGCCTAAGACAACATCAACTTCTGTTAGGACTCCTATTAAATCTGGAATCACCTGTAATCTAAGAATTAAACATTAAAATCTTAATCACATTAATAAATATATTAATAATTTGAACTATTAATTATAACATTTTGTTTATTATATGATGCCAAAAATTACTGAAATGGGCAAATTGAGGGGTTTTGGGGTTTTGGGGTAAATTTTTTGATTTCATATTTTTGGACATCAATATGCCTGTCTTAGATGGATAT